ACAAATTCTCTAAAAGATCTACTAGAAATAAAAGCAAAAAGTTACACCCCAACACCTTGCCGGAAGAGGTGATTACAGGTGACAGAACGAGACGCAGGTAAACCACGTCACAGGGAGGTGATTACAGGTGACTGAACGAGACGCAGGTAAACCACGTCACAGGGCTAGATTTATTGGCCTGAGTAGATGAGATTTGTGAGGGAGTAAACATGAGGGAGAGAAAGATGGAGATAGGAAGGTATAGGAATGAGGGAGAGAGAGAAAGAGGGAGATAGGAAGGTATAGGAATGAGGGAGAGAGAGAAAGAGGGAGATAGGAAGGTATAGGAATGAGGGAGAGAGAGAAAGAGGGAGGGAGATAGGAGGGTAGGAGTGAGAGAAAGAGGGAGGGAGATAGGAGGGAAGGAGAAGTGGGAAATAGGGAAGACGTAGAGAATGAGAGAAGGTAAGGGAGATAACGGAAGATGAAGGGAGGTAAGGATAGATGGAAAGAGTAAAGGTAAGGAGAGAAGGAGGAGGGGAAACTGAACCTGTGTACCCGAGATTACAATGTGTGTGTATGTGTGTGTGTGTGTGTGCGCTTTATTTACACTGTGTTTATTAACCTTTGGTCGATAGAAAATGCTTTGTGTAAAAACATATAAAGACTTATGTAAATGACGACACGGGCGGATATTAGTATTGAGCGGGCGGAAGTAATAATTTCTCTCTCTCTCTCTCTCTCGAAAAATAAGTCTTAAAAATTTGACTAAAAATTATATAAATTAGTGGTCATAATAAATCCATAACGAACTATATACTACATTACAGGAGGAGAGACATTTTAACCTATAATAGCAAAACCTTACGTAGAAATTATTGATAACGATATGGAAAGGTGTTTTATCTGGTAACACTGACAACCACATCATGCGTCCGTTTGTTATACCCCGCGTCTAACTAAGGAGGGAGGGGGTATCTATTGATTATTATGTTTATGTATGTTTGTTTGTTTGTCTGTTTTCTGGCCACGAAGTTATCTGAGTAGTAGTAGTGGTGTGTGTATGTGTGTGTGTGTGTGTGTGTGTGTGTGTGTATATGTCTTGGATAAAAATTTGAGACCCTATTATGTGTTTTGCAAAGAAAGTACCTAAAAGTGTGCCTATGTGTATGTCTGTATGTGTATGTATATGTATGTCTGTATGTGTATGTCTGTATCCTCAGGTATACAGGAGACATACATGTATACAAGCATCTAGGACCTCATAGATATTCATACACAGTTATAAATTATTACACAACTCTCCCACTGTTAACTACACTACCACCCACCCCTCCCCCACCTCACACCCACCCCTCCCACACCCACCCTACCTCTCTAATGGGGTGTGTTGATAGATAGATAACATGTATGTATGTATGTATGTATGTATGTATGTATGTAAATCATTGTTCAAACCTACACACACTCTCACTGCATCTTATCTCTTACTATTCCTTCGGGTACACACACACACACACATACACACACACACACACACCACAAAGCTCTACTCCACGACCCGAAACTAATTAACACACAAAAACATCCGAAAAAATAACATAAAAAACCACCGATTAATTCATATCAGTGATTGAGTGATTGTAAGGTAGAAAAATTGGAATGAGTGATTTTTTGTACTGAACACCTGACTCGATTTACCTGTACGTTCGATGTTATGGATCACCTGAAGATTAGCCCCTCTTGAGGTTGTTGTATCTGATGATTAGAAACACTCTAATACTTAACTAGAAAGGTTAGGTTAGGTTAAAGTTAGATTAGGTTAAATTAGGTTGGATTGGATTACGTTAGTATTGGAGTGTTTAATCATCAGGTAAAATAAGCTAGGGTGTCTAATAATCAGGTAAAATAAGCTAGGGTGTCTAAACTTCAGGTGAAATAACCCGGGGTGTCTAAACTTCAGGTGAATCATTGTTTTTTTTATATATTACCATGTTACCTGGATACCTATTATTGTTGTTTGAATGTCTCTCGTTAATCAAGATTCCAATGCACCTCAACTCAATTTGGTGCACGACACATACACCTATATATATATATCTTCAAAGGAATTATATTTCTTATCAACAATTACAGTTTTTTTTGACGTTAATTAACCTTTTTAAGTCCAGCACAGGTATTCACTAATTGGTTCCTTGAAATTAGACACCACGACAGGTAAGGTCTTTTAAACAATTACCTTAACGTTAGTATTACTCAGATTAATATATCACTACATTGTAAAAACTTAAGTCATAATACATCTAACTTAATCTAACCTAACGTGACCTGACCTAACCTAACGTGACCTGACCTGACCTAACCTAACGTGACCTGACCTGACCTAACTGGGTATTTATTGAAGTACAACCTGTATGACTGAGTGTTAGATAAGACATAGAACAAAGGGATTCATAATAATAATAATAATAATAATAGTTAGGTAGACAGAGTGAAGGAAACTGGAAATACAAAGACGAAGAAAGAGAGACAGACATAGACAGAGACAGAAAACAAAAGGAATGAAATGAAGAATGCAAAAAGACACACACACACACACACACACACACACACACACGAGATAAAAAAAAAACAAAAAAAAACGAGAAAAAATGGAAGACTCACATGATAAAATAATAGAAAGATAATCACCATTTAATATTCACTCACTCTCTCATTATTAGAGCATTAAAAGTGATGATGATAATAATAACATTGATGGTGTTATCCGTAATGACATAAGGTCAAGGTGTTAGTTATTCTTCACCAGGTAAATCGACAGGTTAATGAGGCAGGTGGGAGTATAGTGGGGGGGGGAGGGGGGGTAGGGACTGATAAGGAATAATAATGAACGTACAGAAAAACATTACATTAATTTCTTGTATCTTCTAACCTTCATAGTTTATAATGATTTAAATTAGTATGGACGTTAATAATAATAATAATAATAATGATAATGTGTGTCAATGTTAGGTGGGTGAGATGCATTGAGAGAGAGAGAGAGAGAGAGAGAGAGAGAGAGAGCATCTTTAATGAGTGCAAAAGACAGAAGCTGTACACGGGTAAACAACACAGGGTGGTGTACATATAAGTACATCTAATTACCAACAGAATGTACACTTAATAAACACCAATTGATCAACAGTATAGTACACAATACGGCTTCAAAAGAGTACAGTACATTATAATATGTGTACAATACTAAAACACTATCCATTGTACATCAAGAAACAATAGAGTGTACATTAAAACACAGTTGAAACATTATATAAAACACAAGTGTACATTTGATTAGTAATTAAATGTACAGAAGTATACAATGTAAGTTCAGTGTAACATAAAAACAGTGTACAATTAACAAGTTCATATAAGAAATGTACATTCAGTAAGTGTACAGCAAAGAGTACAATTTTGTTATTAAATAAGTAGGGTTTGTTGTGATACTAATTATATTATGGTAGTATATAAGACGGGCAAAAAATTTTACTCTAAATTTTATATAGACAGACAGACAGACAGACAGAATGAATGAATATAATCAATAGAGAAACAAGGACAAAAGGCACTGAAATTTATATGGAAAGAAATCTTATGTTATCAAATTAGACAGACAGACAGACAGACAGAATAAACTATGACAATAAAAGAGACAAATCAATAAAATGGTCTCTGGAATATGATTACAGACAGCTTGACAGAAAGACAGACAGAGTGGTATCTAGCATTAACTTAAGAGACAGACAGACAGAATAATCCAGTATCCATATAGAGACAGTGATAGACGGATGGGTAGAATAAAGATCAACTGAGAGACAGAAAGAGACAGACAGTGAGAGAGACTATGAGAGATACACAAAGAATAATAGACGGTAAGAGAGAGACAGAGAATGATAAACGGTAAGAGTGGCAGACAGAATGATAATGCAGTGTGTGTGTGTGTGTGTGTGTGTGTGTGTGTGTGTGTGAGTGAATGATCGTAATGTGCTAATAATAATAATAATATTATTAATAATAATAATAATAATAATAATAATAAAAATAATAATAATAACAACAACAATAACAATAATAACAACAATAACAACAATAATAATAATCATAAACTCTCTTAAAAAAACTCATAAATATTATCATTAATATTACTTAGAGATACATACTAACACATGTCTCATTAAGAAAGGTGTTCACTCAGGCTGATTATATATACCTGTACGTTCCTCGCCTCGCCATGACTCTGTGTAATTATAACATATCACTATTTCTCAAACTCATTATTTTGACATTTTTAGTTGGTTTTTGGTTGTTTTTTCGTTGTGGTTTGTTCGTGTTTTTTTTTTTCACGAGTCCCGGACGCATAGACGGGCTAGACAACACGCATAGACGGGTGTATACAGATAAGCACTCACGGAACGCAACACAAACAGATAAAAACGCACGGATGAACGAATACATAGTCAACAACTCACGGATGGATGCACATATAGACAGTACGCATACGGATCGATAAAGACTTAACACACACACACACACACACACGGACGAGAATAACCCGTATTTAACTTCCCTTCCTGACGTAACAGAACAATAACTATATCCAGTTTAGTGTGACAGTCTGAATATATACAGTAGACACGACAGGTACAGAGTTAAAGTACATTAAGAATTATAAGACCCTTTCACCTGTAGATTCTAATAAGGGAAAACTACAGGTAATAATTCCCATATAATGACTGTATCTCTTATAAGGGTATACATATCACACAGCTATAAGTTAAATATCTCCCCATAAAGCTAACAGAAGCTATAACAGATTACTTCAATAGCTGACTTTCTCTCTGTGTATAAGGGAGAGGTTTAGTTGTAGAGAATGTACCTTAATTTTTACTAATTGTTGGGTATCGTATGAAGTGGTTTAGTACTGTACGTGTTCAAGGACCTTAGTGTACGTGTTCAAGAACCTTAGCGTACGTGTTCAAAGACCTTAGCGTACGTGTTCAAGGACCTTAGCGTACGTGTTCAAGGACCTTAGCGTACGTGTTCAAGGACCTTAGCGTACGTGTTCAAGGACCTTAGTGTACGTGTTCAAGGTACCTTAGTGTACGTGTTCAAGGACCTTAGCGTACGTGTTCAAAGACCTTAGCGTACGTGTTCAAGGACCTTAGCGTACGTGTTCAAGGACCTTAGCGTACGTGTTCAAGGACCTTAGTGTACGTGTTCAAGTACATAACTACATAATACAACCAGTGAGTAATTGGGTGGTTTGTATATTGGGTCAATGTTGTGTTGTGGTTCGTCAAAGGTATAGTGAACAGATACCAGCGAACATGAATGTGTCTTTCTTCCACCCAGCAACACTTCCGCCAGAGCACGAGCATATCTCTAGCGATTATTACTACTAGCACACCTCCAACACATCTCTAGCGATTATTACTACTAGCACACCTCCAACACACCTCCAGCGATTATTACTACTAGCACACTAGCGATTATTACTACTAGCACACCTCCAGCGATTATTACTACTAGCACACCTCCAGCGATTATTACTACTAGCACACCTCCAACACATTCTAGCGATTATTACTACTAGCACACCTCCAACACATCTCTAGCGATTATTACTACTAGCACACCTCCAACACACACATTATTACTACACAGCGATTATTACTACTAGCACACCTCCAGCGATTATTACTACTAGCACCTCCAACACATAGCGATTATTACTACTAGCACACCTCCAGCGACTGCGATTATTACTACTAGCACACCTCCAACACACTCTCTACTAGCGCGATTATTACTACTAGCACACCTCCAACACACCTCCAGCGATTATTACTACTAGCACACCTCCAACACACCTCCAGCGATTATTACTACTAGCACACCTCCAACACACCTCCAGCGAGTATTACTACTAGCACACTTCCAGCTATTAATTTTTATACACAATGGGCAGCTCAGTCTGGATTCTCACTGACTTATTCGTTCATATTTTCTAGGCATTCCTCCTCCCCCCCCTCCCCTTCCTCCCTCCCCCTCTCCCTCCCCACTTCCCTTTCTTCCTTCCCTCACCTCACTTGCGTGATTACAGACGCCCACTGCTGTGTCGGAACTTATGTGTGTGTGTGTGTGTGTGTGTGTGTGTGTGTGTGTGTGTGTGTGTGTGTGTGTGTGTGTGTGTGTGTGGGTGGGACAGTTAGATAAGCTCCAACATTTCTGGTTACGAAGGAAATATTATGGCATGAATGTTGATGTCTTGGTGTTTACGTTTTGATGTTGATGTTCTGGTGTTGATATTGATGTTTCGATGTTGATTTTTTTTTATGTATCTTTCGATGTTTTGATATTGATATTAATGCTGAAACTTACAAATAAAAAGTTTAGATTTTTTTTTTACTTTCATTAAGACTCGTCAATAAAAACTCTCAATATTTTCTTAATTAAAATCCAGAAAAGTTTGTAAATAGAAAGTCAAAATATTTCGTATACATAAAATTCATCTTACATTATATCACAGGTATATTTTACTGTATTAAAACTTCAACATGAAAATACATTATACTAATACTGGTCAGAATTTCAAAAGCAAAATAAGAGCACTTTCATGTATTAATATTCATCCTGTAGAGTGTAGACTGTAGAGAGTAGACTGTAGAGTGTAGGGTATAGAGAGTAGAGTGTAAACTGTAGACTGTAGAGAGTAAACTGTA